TACAAGAGCACAGGAAAGACTAAATCTCATTAGAAGAGTAAACATACAAATGAGAAAGAATCAAAGACTGTCAGTGTAGTAAAAACTATTAAACATATAAGATGAGTAAGACATGAAGAAATAAACACAAAATATGTGAAACAATTTGAAGAAAATCTCATCTAAACAAAACACCAAAAAAAGGACATCCGAATTAAATTATACTATAGATCAAATGGATTTAAAAGACATTACAGATTATTGCCTCCAACAGTTGCAGAACACACATTCTTTTCATCAGTACATGGAACTTCTTCCAAAATAGATTGCATAATAGGCTATAAAGCAAATCTTTAAAAATTAAAAAAAGAAAGAATTTCTTTCATCTTATCAGATCACAATACATTGAAACAAGAAATTAACAGCAAAAGAAACCAAAGAAATTTTATAAACACAGGGAGATTGAACAACACTATTGAATAGTGGGGTCACTCAAGAAATTAGGGGGAATTTTATAAATTCCTGTAATCAAATAAAAATGGAAACATGCCAAAATTTGTGGGATATAGCAAAGCAATACTAAGAGGGAAATTTAAGGCAATGAGTGGTTACATCAAAAGAGAGAAAGGGAGAGACATCAAATAAATAACCTAATGATGCACCTTAGGTTTTTAGAGAAAAAACCAAATCAATAAAAAGGAAGAAATAATAAAGATTAGAACAGAAATAAATGAAGTAGGTACCAAAAGAACAATATAAAGGATCAGTGACAAAAAGAGCTGGTTCTTTAAAAGGGTAAACAAAATTGACCAACCTTTACATAATTAATTAAGGTAAAGAGAAGAACCAAATAAATAAAATTAGTGATGAAATGGGAGACATTGCAATATATACCGTTGATCACTTGGGATCTCTAGAAAATAAACATCACTAGGGAATAAAAACTCTTTGCCAACAAATGTGAAAACCTAGAAAAATGGACCAATTTCTGGACACATATGAGTACTAAAATTAAAACAAGAGGTTATTGAAACATCAGACAGATCAATAAAATAGATCAATTAAAGCAGTAATGAAAAGTCTCTCACTGAAAAAAATAAAAGCCAGGTTCATAAGGAATCATTGCTAAATATACCAGACTTTTAAAGAAGAATTAACACCAATATTCTTTAAACTATTCCATAAAACAGAAAGGTAAAGAAACCTTCCAAAACCTGATAAGAAGGAGAAGGAGGTGGTGAAGAGGAAGGAGGAGGAGGGGAAGGGAAGGGAAAGGAGAAGGAGAAAGTAGAAGAAAGAAAGGGGGAAAGGGAAGGGGAGGAGAAACTGTAGACTAATATCTTTGATGAACATGGATGCTTAGATCCTCAACAAAATACCTGAAAATCAAATTCAGTGGCACTTTTAAAAGATCATATACCGTGATCAAGTTGGTTTCATTCCAGAGATAGAATCCATGCAAATCAATAAACATAATACAGTTCATAATTGTAATTAAGGATAAAATCATATGATCATCTTAATAGTATCAGAAAACACCTTTGATAAAATTCAATTTCTTTTCATGATGAAAGTCATAAAATAAGTATATAAGGATCATATCTCAACATACTAAATGCTCAATATGCCTAACCAATAGCCAACATCATACTGAATGAGGGAAAAGTGAAAGTACTTCCCTAAGATCAAGAATAAAACAAAGTGGACCACTCTCACTGTGTTTATTCATTAAGTACTAAAACTTTTCACCTCAACTTTAGCTCTAGGAAAGAAAGAAAAGAGATACAAACAGGAAAGGAGGAAATGAAATTATATCTGCTTAATGATGATATGATTCTATACTGAAAAATCCCAAAGATAGCACCAAAAACATTAAAATTGATAAACAAATTCAGCAAAGTAGCAGGATACAAAACCAACATACAAAAATTAGTAGCTTTTCTGTACATTAGTAATGAACTCACTGAGAAAGAAACCAGGAAAGCAATCCCATTTACAATAACCTAAAACAACAACAACAAAATACTTAGGAATAACCTTAATCAAGGAAATGAAAGACCTCTACAATGAAAATCGCAAAACATTGAAGAAAGAAATTGAAGACACTAGAAAATTAAAAGACTTCCCATGTTCTTGAATTGGGAATATTAATATTATTAAAAAGACCATACTACCCAAATCCATCTTCAAGTTCAGCGCAGTCCCCATGAAAACACCAATAACGTTTATTACAGAAGTAGAAGAATATCCCTAAAATTCATGGAAATACACCCTACAGCATCACAGGGTCTCCTTGGCAGCTGTATCTGGAGTCTGGATGTTGCTCTTTAAAGACCTTTAATAAAATCTCGTACAAAAGACAAAAAAAAAAAAAAAACATGGAAATACAAAAGACCCTGAAATAGCCAAAGTAATACTGAACAAAAAAAGGGAATGCTGGAGGCATCACAATGCCTGATTTCAAAATATACTACAGCACCATAGTAACCAAACCAGCATGACATTGACCAAAAAACAGGCATGTTGATCAGTTGAACAGAATAAAAGACTAAAAAAAAAAAAAACCCAGGCAGTGATAGTCAACTGATGTTTTGACAAAGGAACCAAAAACATCCATTGGAGAAAAGACAGCCTCTTCAACAAATAGTTCTGAACCAATTGGATATTCACATATAGAAGATTGAAACTAGATTACTATCTCTCACCCTGTACAAAATTCAATTCAAAATGGACCAAAGACCTAAATGTAAGACTGACACTTCAAACTACTGGAGGAAACCACTGGGAAACAGTCCAAGATATTGGCATAGGCAGTGATTTCTTGAATAGTACTCCAATAGCTCAGAAAACAAAAGCAAGAATTGACAGTGAGATTGGATCAAATAAAAAGCTTTTGCTCAGCAAAGAAAACAATCCATAGAGTAAAGAGACAATCTACAATATGGGAAAAAAATCATCATCAACTACTCATCCACTAGAGGATCAATATCCAGAATGTATAAAAAAATTAAAAAACAACATCAGAAGAACAAATAATTCAATGAAAAGTATGCAAATGATCTGAACAGACACTTCTCAAAATAAGAAGTGCAAATGGCTAATAAGTATATGAAAAAATGCCCAGTATCTTTAGCAATCAGAAAAAAAGCAAATCAAAACTACAACAAGATTCTGTCAGAATGACTACTTTCCAAAGAACAAAAAAATAACAACCGGGGCTGGGGCTATAGTTCAGTGGTAGAGCATCTGCCTTGCACATGAGGCACATGAGGCACTGAGTTCAATCCTCAGCACCACATTAAAAAAAATTAAGTAAATAAAGATATTGTATCCATCTACAACTAAAAAAAATATTTTAAAAAAGATAACAAATGATGGTAAGGATGTGGAGAAAAAGCAATCCATATATGCTATTAATGGGAATGTAAATTCTTTTAGCCACTACAGAAAAAAGTATGGATATTCCTAAAAAACAAGAAATAGAACTACTATATGATCCAACTATATTACTCCTGGATATATATTCAAATGAAATGGGCACAAAATAATGGAGAGAAAGATAGATACCTCTATACCCATGTTTATTTCAGCACTATTCACAATAGCTAAGATTTGAAATAAAGCTGTTTGCCTGTCAACCCATAATTGAATAAAGAAAATATGGTATATATACACAATTGAGCCATAAAGAAGAATGAAATCTCCTGGAAAATGAATGGAACCAGAAGACATCATGTTAAGTGAAATAAGCCAAACACAGAAAGACAAGTTTCATGTTTTCTAGCACATATGGAAACTAAGAAAGAGAGAAAAAGGAAAAAAAATATGACCTTAAAGTGGAAGAGAGACTTTAAGGAAAAGGGAAGGGATCCTGCAATAGAAGGGAGAAAAGGGCCTTCCCTGAAGGGAGTCATGTTAAATGCACCTATGTACATATTGTGGTGAACCCATTAATTTATACAATTAATATGTGTTAATAACTATAAAAAAACATTTCCTGATTCCCTACAAGAACTACACAAGACTGAGGAGATGTAAAAATGAATGAGATAGTTTCTACCTTCAAGGAGAATGTAGTCTAATTTAGGAAGTAGATGCGAACACAAGACCAACGTTAACAACCTTAAGAGTGAATGTAGGACATAAAAATTGTTGTGCACCTAACCAACATTTGCCTGATGATTATTTATTTGAATGTTTTCTCATCTCTACCGCACTCTAAGCTCCTGAAAATTAACCTATTTCTGTTTCATCTTTATGAGTACACACAAACCTCAGGATCCAGCTGAGGACTTTGAGTAAGCACCTAATAAGTGTATACCATTATTTGTTGTTGTTGTTGTTTAAATACTATTAGAAGAAAAAAAAAATGGTGCCTGGGATTGTTTGCTCAGCGTTTTCTTCTGATTTCCATTAAAATTACAAAACTTAGCATTTATTATTCACAGGCAAAATTTGGAAACCACACTCTACTCAACATACTCTTTGTGGACTGCAGTTCAGATCCCACACGTTGGCCAAGTGGATGGCTTTGCACTTTGTTTCTTTCATGTTCTTTGTCTTCCACTCCTCTGCCACTGGCGTGTCTCAGAGCATTATCTGTGTTCCTTTGATTACAGGGATTGTTGAGAAGGCAAGAGTAGGGAAACAAGAAACAGGTACCTTCCTGAAGCCTGGAAACACCTGAAAATTGAGTTCATTCTATGTTCAAAGTTGTGCAGAATAATGTATTTTTAATTCACTATTTTAGAAAGAACAACAATAATCATAAGAAGATAAATTGTGAGGGCTGTGGCTGTGGCTCAGCAGTAGCACACTTGGCTGGCATGTGTGAGATATTGAGTCTCTGTTCCACATATAAATAAAGATCTATCAACAACTAAAAAAATATTAAAAATAGATAAATTGTGAGCTGAAATGCTGCCACAAGAAAAAAAGAAAGGAAAAATGATAATATTAATGATTATGTTTAACTTTAAATTTTATTATAACATTTTAATTATATGTACATAGTACATTATGATGTTTTTAATTTTATATATGACAACTCAAGACCAAGTGCAGAGATGATGTAAAACTATTTCTGACATGAAAGTAATTACCTTTTTACACACTGGATAGATCATTATTTTGAGTCACACTTTCTTCATAAATCAAATAAATTGTTATCATGACTAATTCTTAATCTACTTTGACTCTAAAGATAGCAAACATTGAAATTAAAAAATTGAAAAACAAACTAATTACTTAAATGCTTTATCTACATGACATTTAACAGCCAGATGTCTAGTTAAATTTCTTGTTTTTTAATATAATAGAATGGAGATTTTAGTTGTTTTCTAAATTTAATTAAAAACCAATTTGATCAAAACATGTATTGTAGAATGAACATTATAGATTTTGAATGCCTCTATTGATCAAATTACTAGAAGCAATACAACTGCACTTTACAATGCATGAAGACATAAGTAGCCCTAGCCTTTGTATTAGCCTACTCCTAATACAGTGCATGAGCCCCTACCTGTGAGCTGCAGTGGAGGTGGGAACATTGAGCCGACTGCCACACTGAGAGGTTAGACTATGTGTGCACGTATATGCTTATGTCTTCCCACATTTACCCCTAGATTATTTGTTCTGTTACACAACCTCCTTTCATTTTCTACTCACTAATACAAATTAATGCTTTTGGGTCAATAGGGTGCAATCAACTGCTACAATAGACACTTTTTACAAATCCTTTAGATGTGGTCACTATGGTTACCTAAAAATCACCTAGCAAATAGTCTAGATTAAATAGTTTATGTTCAGTGCATCTCTGACAAAAAGAAAAAAAATCCCTTTTTACTTGCGAATAACATTTTCAATTGGAATATGTCCAACTTTAAAGTCTTAGTAAACATCCTCAAAGTTTCCAAAGATTTGATGACTCATTTTTCTGAAGCCCCAGTTACATATGATTAATGAGATTTTATTACAAATTTAACTTTTTTGTTTATCTCTCAGTGCTTCTGAGATACTTCAGCAGCATCTATCACTATTCTGTTTTAGATTTCAAGTTGCGCTCTTAGACATGGGATGTAAAATTAAAAATATGCCATTTCCTTTTATAAGGATGTTATATCACTACTGAAATTCTTTAATGATAAGCACATATGAATATTTTCATTAAGACTTCTGTTCTTGTTATAGTCTTAGGATACTTGAGTACAACGACTATCCCAAATCAAAACTCAGAGTAGGTGGTCTCAAAACTAACATGCTTGTCAAGACAAAGGATAGGCTATTTTAAATATCTTTGGGTCTTTATAAAATTAAGATGTATGGTGTTCATCCATCATATAGAATTCTGCTTCTTCAACTTCATTCCCACAAAAGCCCTCTGATGGCCTTTTTCATATTATCTAGTGACAAATAATGGTCACTAGAAACCAATAATGGTCAATAGAGATCAATAATGGTCATTAGATAATATGAAATTTGGGGATTCTACTCAACATTCACAAACCCACAGAGCTATTCTCTTCGACTTAAATGCTTCTTACATCTGGTTTAAAGCATGGATCATAAAAATTGATCTTGCAAAACTGAACACAATTTATTCTTCCAAAGCCTGTGGACAGAGCTGTCTCACTGCAGAGGATCATGGTCTTAAACACAAACCCTCCAATCTCAGTCTCCTGGTAGGGCTTCTATTTGCCATTCGGCCTTCTTCATCTTTGGCCCCAGTCCACTTTGCTTTCATTTGAAGCTGGTGCCACTTGGTTGTCTGTTTGATTTTTGTCATTTGGGGATAATAAATGCCACAACATATTTCAATTATTTAATTCCACAAGAAATTGAATTTTGATTACAACAAAGTTGAACATATCAAATATATTATCATTAGAGCATAAGTTGGCTCAGCATCTGTGTTAAATTAAATTATAACATCTAAACACATGAAACAGTCAAATTTCTGAGTTGGCCATCTCTGCAGGCCATGACCTGCTGTTTTTTTGTGACTGCTCTTACTGTCACATTTTCACGATACCATAAATGCTGGTGAACTCCCAGGAGTTTCCTATATTTCTTATCCATCTGCTACATTGTTCCACAATAAGATATTCCTTAGGAAAAAGAAAAAGAAAAGTTAGAAAGCCTACTATTCCAGAATCTCACAAACCAAAATCAATTAGGATTTAGATAATAGCTTAAACCCTAACCCCAACATAGCCAGTTCATTTTGTTTTTAATAAATTGTGATTGAAAACATCTGAGTCCCAGAAATAAACTGGGTTTGGGTTTGTTCCACCTCTCCAGAGATATTAGAGGTCAGCTCTCCATGTTCCTTTAACCTATGGCATCTTCCTTGGTTAATGCCATATCTTCCTTATTTTTTGTTGCTTGTGGAAAGTCAGTGGCTGACATTGGAACAGCTGAATGTTATTCTAAATTGAAGCAATTAAATTATGAGGTAGCAGGTTGGAAGCAAGAACCCTAGGGATGGATAGTTTTTCCTCATTCTTGAAATTGACTCCTCCTATGAGAACAATTAGTCCCTTAAAAACGGCCCATACCATACTTCACTTCATGTGTAAACCATAGTAAACTCTTCAAGGTTAAGCCTCCGGGAAAAAAACAGAACGAGTAAAATAGTAAAAACAAATCTTTTTTTGATGAATTTTAGGGAACCAGAAAGACAGGTACTGTTGGGAACAGCACCTATACTACACCTATATTCATGTCATTGCTTTGGGACAATATTTCCCTAGTGCTGGGCTGAAAAAGCATAAACACAAAATTGTGAAAAAAGGCCAGGCTGGGAGTGCAAACCGGGCTATATTAAATGAATATAAATATTTAAGTACCCTTAGATCACGCCTTAGGGCCTGCTAAATGTGTCTTCACCATGTGCATATGCCGTAGAGCATGCCCAGAACCTTCTAGGTACTCAACACCAGCTTACTTTCCTGCAAGAACAAGAGGGCAACCTCCCTTCCCTCAGGAAGGGAGGCTAGCAAAAGCAGAGGGAGAGTCCAGAGGCCATGTGGCTTTCCTTGTAAGCACCAGGTCCTTGGAATCCAAATGACTATTTCAAATCCTCTCCTAGGGTATTCACTCCTAGTCTCTGACAGATTTGACTGATTCCAAATCCCCCCTGAACACAAGAGCAGGTATATCTTGTGTTTCCACCCTCCATCTGGCTGCTGGTGATGGGGTATGCAAATATCTGCCAGTATACCCGAAACTGTGGAGCAGAAATAAGGACTTTATGTCCCTAGAACAAAGGAGTCTTCAGGCCTTTCAACAGTACTGCCCGTATACAAAGTTACCCAGGATCTCTGTGTCAGGAAGGATCTCCAGGGCTGGAGAATGGATGGTTGAAGAATGGAAACACCACATAAAACCCTCTAATTAAGTTTTGAGTCAAGAAGAGATCTTAAAAAGAACCCCCAACTGGTGGGAACTGGCCTTACCAGCAGCCTCTGACTCTTTCCCCTGACCACTGTGTTTCTGTAGGGTTCTGCCACTTTGATTACTGTTGTCACCACGAATTCTGGATCCTGGCAGTCTTTCTAAATTGTTGGCCTATGTGTAACCAAACCCTTTCTTTCCTTCATCTTTCTTAGCAAAGTAGAGACATGTAGAATTTTGAAAATTAATATGATTCAATACTAAACAAAAATGAAAATGCAGTAATTATAGGCAAGATACAGCACATAAAGTTACATTTGCAAGGTTCAAGTTCTTGATCCTAAGATGAACACGGACCAGCCTCAAAAGACTGCATTCCTGCTATCGCTCCTCCCACCACCATCTTACCTGTTACTTGAAAGCAAAGCTTTCTAGCTGCTATATTTTTTCCTCATCTTCCCAAGTGTGATAAGTATTTCAACAATAGACTGAAATCGATTTTTTTTAAAAAAGGATGACCTACCTAAACCAGGGTGGTCATGAAATAATTCTGTGTAGGGAAAATGAGGCAAAAATCAAAGGACAAGCAGCACCCCACCATGAGAAGTTGGGGAAAAAGTGTTCCTGGAAGAGGGAACAACTTGTACTCAGGCAGGCAAGGATCTTTTGTCCTAGAAGACATGAAACAAGCTGTGTGGAGCCAGAGCATACTGAGGAAGGGAGAGATGGTATGAAATGAATTTGAAGAGAAGGTCAAAAGTCAGATCATGTATGTGGTAGTGAGGAGTTTAGATTTTATTGTAAGCACAAGAAGCCACTGAAGGCTTTGAATAGAGGAGTGACATGATTTGATTTATCTTTTGAGATCCTTCTTGCTTCAAGATACAACAGATCAAAGATGGAAAAACAGAAGAAAGACCACTTGATAGGTTATTGCAGTTATCTAGGTAAAGGGTGATCCTGTCTTAGAACACGTTTTCTCAAACTATGGTTCACAATCCATTGGGCTTATGCAGTCATTTTAGACCTCTTGATCAGTAATATCAATGAAATAGAATCATGCACAATAAAAAATATGATCCACAGTCATTGTACATTTCATAACATTTTTTTTCAGTTTCTTATGCATATAACCATGCACATGCAAATACAAGATTGTGCTATGAAGTGAGTTTGTTACTCTGCACCATGTTCAAAAAATCACTAACTTAGACTAAAGTGATAAAAGTGGAGGCAGAAAGAAGAAGAGATTCAACACAGACATTGCTTCAAATACAGAATGGAAGAGTCACCTAAGAAAATACACAGATAAGAGACAGAATTTTGTTTCGTTTTCATTGTTATATTCTTACATATTAACCCTACCTATTCTTTAAAACATTCTTTACAATAGCTTAGGCTTGGTACAGATATAAGATAGTACCACTAACATAGGAAAATGAAACATAAGCAGCCATTTTTTTAAACAGGTACACATAAAAATATTTGAGACATACCCTAATGGCCACCAACAGGTCATCTGTCATTTCTCAGTTGGACATTCCTTCTCTGGGTCATTGATTTATCACTAGTAGAGTATAAATTAATTCAGGATATTTCCAAAAAGTTTGAAACTGGGGATGAAATATTTCATACTAAGTCTCCTCAGTCTTTGTTCCTTCTGAAGAATATTCCTCAGATTTTTGAATTTCAGTCCTAACTTTGCTGGATGTTTTCATAATGCAATTTGGCCTGCTTAATTTAACATATAAAGTTATAATCATATAGTCATACATGTTTAAAATTTGCATCACTGCCATGTGAGTGATAAAATTGATTAGTGCACTGGAATAAATGTCATGTTTATGTCCTATATTGCTTAATATATGATAGAATTGCCTCTCTTGTATAAGGTTATATATAGTGTGTGTGTGTGTGTGTGTGTGTGTGTGTGTGTGTGTGATGCTGGGGGTTGAACCTTGGACCTTGTGCATGTGAGGCAAGCACTCTATTAATGAGCTGTATCCCCAGCCCTGAGGTAATCTCAATGAATCTTTTTATCCATATATACTTGAGGATGTTGGATTTAGCCTGATGAGAAAATAGATTTATAATAAATTATCACTGAAAATCAGAAACTTGTCTTGGAAAGAAAGGGTGCATGCCATGGGCAATTAACAGATGCAGAAATCCTTTAATTATAAAGCATGCCCTTACCTGAGGAACTTCATACTATGCTGACAAGAGGCTACATCTTATAATAAGCCTTTTCATTTTATACACACACAAACACACACCCACAATCTATGAACATGTTAAGACCCATATGTTCAAACAACCCATTTACAAATTGCTAGATGGGTCCAGCAGCACCTTCCTACTCTCTCAGCCATTTGAAGAAAGCCAAGTTCACTATTTCATCACCATTTTTCTTTCTGTGGCCCTTTGCATCAGTTCTAACAACACCTCTCTCTTTCTCTCCTATCAAACAGCAGTCTTGTTTTGGGATAGGTGTCAACCAAAGATGACAGCTATATTTTAAAGATCTTCATAGTCAAAAGAATGAGTCTCTTATGGTAGAAAATTAAATTCTGGTGGGAACTACTTTAGTTGCTAGTTAAGATGCCTTCCCTATTACTTCCCAACCCAGACAGACCACCCAGGTAACTTGCATAAGATTTAAAAGTCCATACATCTTGATAGTGCCACCCAGAGAGTCACTCCTGACCTGACTAGTTGAACTGCTGACTCTATTGTATAGCCATTCCTGTGCCAGAAGAACCACAGAATGCAGCAAGTTAGGAGCTGAAGATAGGGTGTCATCACAATTTTCAATCTGTTTCTTCATTCTCAAACCTCACAATGTTGGACCTTTCTGCAGAATTTCAGTTTGTTCTTTATTATTTATTGAGGAAGTCTGGTACATATAAAAGCTTCCTTTTAGCATAGATAAGACTAACTGGCTAACAGTTTTCAGGGCAAGTAGGATTAATTATCAGGAAGCTGTTGATAGTTCCTTGCTGACCTGTAAAAACCTAGTAAGTATGAGGTCAGCTAAAATAATAAGGTCTATTTAAAGTTTGGGTCACATAAGACGTCATTAAGGATCACATTATTTCAGCAAAGAAAATATTGCAGAGAGCTCTCCTCTTAAAAGAAAATAGCTTTTCTGTTGGAAAGCTTCCAAACCGCACCATTGCAAAACTCAAACACTTCAAACCATCGGACGCTAATGTTTAACTGTGTGTTTCTAGTTGTACTGAAAACCTTTTCCCCTTGGTAATTGATTTTTGTTGAATCCAGGTGTCATTTGACTTTTAATCCAAATTATGTTCCTTGTTCCGGGGAAGATACTTTCATTGCCCAGGGGTTTACTTTTTACACCCTGTATGATGTATAGTATATTCTACCCTGTTCCTTGTGATTAGAAAAAGCAGTAATCAGCATTTTACTAGAGTTGGGGAAGACAGTGAAGGGCGGGGCTGGCCCAAGGCAGGATTGTGAAATGCCTGAAAATTGTAAAGCCTTGTAAAGCCCTTGTCTCCTTGTTGTTTAACTCTTTTTTTGCCCTAATCTTTTATTCAGCTGCTTAGAGTTGTGTGACCCTTCTCAACTTCAGTTTCCTTCTGTTGGTTGCCTGAGACAGTGCACATTACATATGTGCATATGACCTGATGCATAGCATGCATCAAAAAAGTCTGGGAGTCATCATCACCAGCTTCATTAACATCTC